GACAAGCCTGCCTCTTCGCAGCCCATCAAAGTGGTTATCAGTGAGGGCTGCGACTCAAGCAACACCAAGGAGCAGGAGGTGAAGCTGAAACCTGGTGCTCCACTCGTCATGACTCATAAGATCAGCTTGTTGCCTGGTGGCTGCAGTGGAGAGTGTGAGGCTGAAATGGCCGAACTGAAAGGGCGTGTGGCTCGGCTCGAAAGAGAGATGTCCTTTCTCAAAGATAAATGTATCATTTTCTTATGATTTATTCACCATATTTTATCATTTTAAACACTATTCAGTATAGACAGGATTAAACATTCCTTGTTCTGTTTGTTTCTGCCCAGGTCCGTGCTCTGCAAACTGTCCAAATGACTGTGGCGACAATGGGAAATGTGAGAAGGGTAAATGTATCTGCCACAAAGGATTCATGGGTCTAGACTGCAGTAAGTGTGCACAAGGAGCCGAGTGTAGCAAAAGTAAGTTATGTTTGCACTAAAATGAGAAAAAATAAATATTTTTATGTAACCTTTGAATGATGCAGCGTCTCCCTGGGCTTTTCAGAATTTAGCAAAGGGAGCACCATCCAGCCAACAGTGGAGACTGTAATCCTGCAGGTGAAAAAAGGAAAGGACAGCATGCAGGAGAAAAATACCAAAGCAGAACAAACACTTTTCCAGAAGAATGTGTCTGAGACTGACACTACACCTAAAGAAGCCACTAATGCCAAAGGAGCTGTTGATAAAACACAAGTGAAAGAAGACACCGCTGTGAAGAAAACAACTACTAAAGGTTCTTCAAATCCTGAAAACACCAGTCGCCCAACTGTTGACAAAAGTCTCCCGAAACAAGAGGAAAACAAGAAGGAGGTAACCCGAAAAGGCAAAACAACACCCTCAGCCTCAGAAACCAACATTAAAGACGGGACTGGCAGCAGAACATTTTCAACGTCCGACCATCTGAAAGATGAACCACAAAATAATGCAACACAAAGCAATGTGAAGAAGGTTTCTAAAACTGACACAACCATCTCCAAGGGCACAGGGACAACCAAAACCAAAACAGACAAGGACATTTTGGAGCAGTCCACGAAGGGTGAAAAGAATGTATCTCAGTCATCCGGCCATAAACCAAATAAGACAGGTAAATTAGACACTTTAATTGTGCAGACTGTGGACAAAAAAACTGACAAGACTGGGAAAGGAACACAAATAAATCTGGATGTATTGAATCGAACCATTGGAGCTGCATCAGATAAGACTAAATCTCATCATGACAAAACAACTCACCATGACTCAGGGATCAGCATCAAGAGGACCGGAGGATCTGGATTAGGATCTGTGAAGGCTGTAAACATATCTTCCCACAGCTTCACAGTCACATGGTTAGCACCCCAAGGGATGTTTAAGAACTTCACTGTGATCAGAAGAGAGCCACAGACAGAAGGAGACGAAGATGGTTATGAGGACTTTGACGAGGAAGCTCTTCCAGGACAAAAGCCCTCTGCAGCTAGGAACGCAACGGAAGTCTTAGTACAGAGTGAGCGCACCAACGCAACTGCCTCCTCCAGGAAAGCTGATGGATCAAAAGTTAAAGCTGACACCAAGAGGATCTCGATGGTGGTCCCGGGTAATGTGCGCTCTGTGGAGTTCAGTAATTTGCGGGCAAACACGCGCTATGTCCTGCATATATATGGTACAGCAGCACAGAGAAGATCAAAGATTCACAGAGTAACTGCAACCACAGGTATTAACAGCAGGAAAACGTTTATGTATAAGTCCATCAATATCTAAGCAAATAATACACTATGTTGTACTTTTTTTCTCTTGCTAGGTCCTGAGCCAGCCACAGAGATGGTTTTCAGTAATGTCACAGAGGCTTCTCTCAATGTTTCCTGGTCCAAACCAAAGACAACGTTCACAGGCTTCATGGTCACATACACCAACATTTTAACAGGTCTGTTAAGTACTGCTCATATTGTTTATCTCAGACCAGAGTTATCCAGCATAAAACACTTAATTAATGCCAGCTCAACCCAAGTGAAGGTTAATGTCAGTTTATTAGGAAATGTTCTTAGTGTCTCATTGTGGTGCTTGTTGTCGTCCTGACAGGGGAGAACCGCTTGGTGACAGTGGGCTCTAAGCAGTCTTATGTTGTTCTGTCCAAGCTGTCTGCTGGGTCTTCCTACATAATCACTGTAACTACGACACAAGGCCAATTCCAGAGTGATCCACTCACATCCGTCATCACCACAGGTACAATCTTAGACAAGTTTACTATTATAAAAGGCTACTGTCTTTGTCTTGGAGTGCAAAAATAAAACATAAACACTGTGGATAATATCCGAACTGCAGTGCCCGCCCCTCCAACGCATCTTCAAGTTGTCAATGTGACAGACACCAGAGCTGTGCTGCAGTGGACTCCCAGTCTAGGGAAAGTAGACCGCTTCGTCATCAGCTACGAGTCCTCTAAGAGTGAGTGTGGCCACACTGACATAATGACTAATGAATAAGTGCTTGTGACTAAGCGGAGTGCTCTTATTGCCACAGCTCCTAATGTGACAGTGACCGTGACCTTGTCAGGAAACTCAGTGGAGCACCAGCTGAGAGGCCTGCAGAAAGGCACCCTCTACAGGGTCAAAGTGCTGAGCCAGAAGGACAGTCTGCAGAGTATGGCCATCTCAACAACATTTACTACTGCAAATGGTGAGCAAAAGGGTGGGAAAATGAAGTAAAATCATAATCTTAAACAAGAGAGAATAAAATGATCCTTCATGGATGAGCAACCTAGAGAGTATGTTTAGTTTTAAGTGAGTAAACTTAAAAAAAGAAAAAAGAAAAACTGCCAAGGGGCTTCTTGTGTCTCTCAGTGGTCAAAGCCAGTGAAGTTGGGGCTCGAAGTGCAGTCATAGCTTGGAGAGCCACCCCTGCTGTTTATCACAGCTACAAAGTGCTTTATCAGGTGGCCGGAGAGGAGACAAAGGTCAGTTGCAATTTTTGATCTTTGGTATACAATAATTAAAGAGAGACCCGACTTTTACAGAATTTCAAAGCTCTGTGTGTGTTACTGTGTTTATATTAGGAGGTGATTCTGGAGCCCACCATCACAGAGTACAAGTTGACTGGGCTTTTGCCCATGTCCCGCTATTTTGTTGTGGTGCAAGGCGAGAGAGATGGACACTATACATCTGTTGTCACCACAGAATTCATCACAGGTATGCATTTTACGTGTTGCAATGTAATCCCATCTTGTGATTACTCTAAAAACTAATTTTCTTTATCTGTTAGGAAAGCTGCGCTTCCCTTTCCCTACCGAGTGCTCTCAGGAGCTGCTGAATGGAGCTCTGCACTCAGGAGAGTTGGACATCTACCCTCAAGGACGAGAGGGGCGAGCAGTTAGAGTCTACTGTGACATGGAGACTGATGGAGGCGGCTGGACAGTAAGACAAACTGCAGTCACTTGAATAAAAGTCGAAAATAGACTTTTATTTGGGTTTTAGACAGCAGTCTCTGTGTTTTGCAGGTGTTCCAGAGGAGGATGAATGGAAAAACAGATTTTTTCAGAACATGGAGTGAATACAAAGCTGGCTTTGGAAACCTGAGTGAAGAATTCTGGCTTGGTACAGTATAAAGCCAAGCTTCTAATCACTTTATCTGATTCAAAGTGTTTTCTTTTGTTTTCACTACATCTGCTTAAACAGCATCTTTTCTCCCAACTCCCACCAGGAAATGAGCTCCTGCACAACCTGACTAATGTTGGCCCTGTGAGTCTGAGAGTGGATATGCGATCTGGAAACCATACCGTCTACGCTCACTACACGAACTTCTCTGTCGATTCAGAGACGAGGCACTATACGCTCACCGTGTCTGGCTACACCGGAACAGCAGGTCCAGTTTCAAAAACTGCATTAAAACAAAACAAGTGCAGTTATACGTGACAATTTGGATCTCAATATCAATGCACTTTTCTGACAGGTGACTCTATGAGGTACCATAACGGTCGTCCATTCTCAACCCGAGACAAGAACCCTGATCCCATGGGGATCCACTGTGCCAAGGCCTACATGGGAGGCTGGTGGTATAAAAACTGTTACAAGGTCAACCTCAATGGTCTTTATGGCATCAACAGTAACAATCAGGTACGACTAATCTCTGCTGATTTCTAAACGTTTTTATCTTTTAAAGCACTCTGGCCAAAGATAGATTTTCTTTTTCTGTTTCTGCTCTAGGGAATAGTCTGGATAGACTGGAAAGGTAAAGACTCCTCCATTCCCTTCACTGAGATGAAGTTCAGACCCTCCAGGTTCTCCCCTGCAACTCATGGGTAAGGATGGACCAGCCTCCATGAAAACTCTGCATCTGACAGAAAATTAAAGCTCCAGAAATTTTCGAGAACCTTGGATCTCACGGTTTCTGTGTCTCTGTCCGAATAAAATAACCTATAGTTGTTTTGATAGCTGCAGCTGTCAGTTCATTTGATTCAATGTGCAAGTAATTTTCTGATCTGTTTTTATAGCAGACGTAACAACTAATTTTATTGTAACTTTTGAATTCTGTTCTACTGTTCTGCCTGACTCATTCATTTCAATACAAATGTGTTTTGTGCCCCAAAATTGTATGCCACCCCACTACTACTGTAATTAAACATGCACTGTTTCACTCCATTGGAATAAATGTGGCTAACCTTGGTCTCGTGAGTTTTTATTTCCTGAAAGCAATTTACAATTTCTCACCTCCCTGCGTTCGTCGTGTTACAAGATTGAGAAACACAGGCTTGACAGATTGTAATGTCAACTAAAATGTGTTAACATGCCCTTTAGTGAGTGCAAATCATGTCTAGGCTGTCTTGTGCTGCATTTATCACATCAACAGTCATGCTGACCTAACAAATATTTGGATGTCCTTGATTATAGCGAAAACACCAAACACTGTATCGAGCTGACAGGCTTTAAGACCTGTGAGAGGACTATAAATGTTCAGGGCTGCGTGTTGACCACCGCGAGAAGACTCTAAGTGATAATGGAAATATCAATAGTCAGTGTGGGAGCTGCGTTCCTGGTTGTACTGCTGTTCATGGTGCTGAATTGGATTTCTGGTCAGAAACACAAAGATGTTCAGGAAAATCATAAGGGAAGTAAGTCAAGTTGAGTATATATTCACGGTCTTTTTATAGTATATGGTTTTGATGGTTGCAATAAATAATGAAATTAAAAATATGGAGACTTACAAAACTGAAACTGGTTGTTGTTCTATATCGTTTGCGCCTGTTCATTTTACTTTGTCTTTTCTAATTCTGTGTAGGAGATGATTCTAGATTTCTGGACCAGTTTCTTCCCTGCTCCTCATCTCTTTCCCTCCCGGGCCCTCCCGGCCACTTTCTCATTGGTAATATGATGGAGCTGAAACATGATCATCTACCAATTCACCTCACAAATTTGGCACAGCGCTATGGAAGCATTTATCGCCTTAAATGCGGAACAACAAGTAATGATCCATTAATTGATAACGGTTGACATTTTTAGTAAAGTTCAGATTGCATAACACCAAAACACTGCACCTATAATCGTGTTGTTTCAGCTATGGTAGTGCTGAACAGCAGCGAAGTCATAAGAGAAGCACTGGTGAAGAAATGGTGTGACTTTGCCGGGAGACCGATCTCATACACAGGTAAAGAGTTCAGTTCAGTGCACTGGGCTGCGTAGTTGTCATATGATATCATGACCCTGACTCATTTCTTTCAGGTAATATTGTGTCTGGGGGAGGTTGCAACATATCTTTAGGTGACTATACTGAAAAGTGGAAGGCACAACATCGCCTTGTCCATAGTTCTCTGCAGCGTTGCTGCAAAAAGTCTTTGCATGATGTCATTGAGAGACAAGCGCTGCATCTGTTAAAGGTACAGTTAAAAAAAGCTGGAAAACAAGATTTTAGAAGGAAGACTTTGCAAACCAAATGCTCGGGATAAAGCACGGGTTTGTTCACTGTTTAGGTTTTGATGGGCTATAAAGGCCGTGCTGTAGATCTGTCAGAGGATTTTACTGTGGCGGCCAGTAATGTCATCACCACTCTGGCTTTCGGAATAGAAGTGAGTATTCTTCTCCCCCTAGTTCTGCTTGTTTTCATGTCACCGTCTTAGAAAAGGTACATTCATAATGTTCTGTTAATCAGGAAGTGAAATTCTTGAGGATAAGCATGACGACATCTTGTTCCCTCTGTTTTTGGACAGTGTGTCTCATTACTTTGTGTCTTGTAGTATGATAAGAGCTCATCGGAGCTGCAGGAGTTGCACAGATGTCTCAATGAGATTGTTGCTCTGTGGGGCTCCGCTTGGATATCAGCCCTGGATTCTTTCCCACTGCTTAGAGTAAATATTCACCATTTAGACTATTGGTCAAATAAATAAAACCAGTACCATGTTGTGAAAATAATTTCATGTCATTTGTTCTCTCAAAGAAATTACCCAATCCTGTTTTTGCCCATCTTCTGAAAGAGGTGGTCAGGAGAGACGAAATCATAGGAAGACATCTCAACAATTACAAGGTTAGTAATGTAAGATGATAAGAAAATAATGGTCTCATGAATTGAAATCATTCAGATCGCAAGACAAAGAAAATACTTGCTGTGATTTTGTGAAACCAAACACAAAATCACACAAGTTATTTAAAAACATCCAAAATAACTCTCTTTTAATCTACTTTTGCTATTTATTTAAGCAGTCACAGGACAAAAAAAATCAGGATGTCATCACAGGATCCCTCCTCCAGGGACTTGACAATCAGAACACAGAAGACAAAGCGGTGAGTACATACAGTGAATACCAGGATAGATAAATAAATCTCTCTTAATAAATCACCTGAAGTCCCGATAATTTTACAAACTACGATGATAGAGCAAACTTAGTTCAAGATCACAATTAGAAGTGGAAACATGCAACACTGTAAAAGTATTAAATTACATGTCTTCATGTTCCCAGCTATTAACAGATATTCATGTTCACATGGCAACAGTGGACCTTCTTATCGGGGGAACAGAGACTACTGCGGCCTGGCTAAACTGGATGGTGGCCTTCCTCCTGCACAGACCAGAGGCACTGGGAATTTTTACCAAAAAAAAAAAAAGTTAAAACAAAAAACATGTTTTTGTTTTTTATGCATCCTTTCTAATGTAATCTACAGGTGCAGGAGTTGGTATATGAGGAGCTGTGCACAGTATTGGAGGGCCGATACCCTAAATACAGCGACAGACACAGACTTCCTGTCCTCTGCTCTCTGATCAGTGAGGTGCTCAGGCTCAGGCCAGTCGCCCCTTTGGCAGTACCACACAGAGCCATCAGAGACAGCAGGTCAGCCTGCACATAATAAATAGCAGGAACTACACAACACACAATAAGCACTACTGACTAAGTACCTGTGTGTGTATATGTGTGAGTGTGTGTGTGTGTGTGTGTAGATGGGGGTGTGTACACACATGTACCATGTTTACATATCTTTGTGGGACCAAAAATTTGAAGTTTTCTTTTGTTGTGCGGACCAACAGCCCTTATGGGGACAAAATCCATGTCCCCACGAGTTTGAAGCCATTTTTGAGGATCAAAATGTGATTTTAGTATCAGGCACTCATTTCGTTTATTTTTGATGGTTAGGGTCAGGGTAAGCGGCTAGGGAAAGCATTATGTCAATTAGATTCCACAAAAATTCCACAAAGATTCCACAAAGATATGAAAACACAATTGTCTTTGTGTGTGCGTGTGTGTTTATGTGTGAGATACATGTGCTAGTACAGCCTGGCTGAGGTCTCCAGATCTCCCACAGTCTCACATTTCTCCAAAGGGAGTGGTTTTAATTAATGAAGTATGCTGGAATGTGATGCTGGAAGTATGAAGTATTGCAACATTTGGCACCGCTCTTCCTCCAAGATCAGACTTATGAAGAGACATCCACCTGAATTACCTTTAGAAAAATGTAATTTATTAAAACAACAAGCACCAGCATTGTTTATTTATGTAATTGTGCAGAAAGAAGATGTGTAGACATTATTTAAATTAACCAAAACCTGAAAAAACAACAACAACAAACAAACAGGCATACACACATACACATTTTCTGCTGTTGCCCTGTTATGTATGTGTGTTGCTTGATACTTGGCATTAAGACAAATACATGGCTCCTCCTCATGTTTAGCATTGCAGGTTATTTCATCCCTAAGAACACAGTCATCATTCCTAATCTTTTTGGAGCACATCATGATCCTGAAGTTTGGCCTGACCCATACAGCTTCAAACCAGGTACTGTCCCAAACGCTGTGTGATTTGTGTTCATTTCACTTGGCTCAGAAGAGTTCAAATAAAGTATTGACACTCTCTCTTTCAGAACGCTTTCTGAATGAAGGAGGGGGAAGCGGAGGCGGCTCCACCCGTGACCTGATCCCTTTTGGAGGGGGGGCTCGGCTCTGCCTGGGAGAGTCTGTGGCCAAAATGGAGCTTTTTCTGTTCAGTGCCTACTTGCTGAGAGATTTTCAGTTCCTCCTGCCTGAGAGCGAGACCTCACTGCCTGATCTGAGAGGAGTTGCCAGTGTTGTGCTTAAGATCAAGTCCTATGATGTTGTAGCACGTCCAAGACCTGTGACTAATCCCTGAGCTGCAGTGGGTGTATTGCTGACTTGTTGTTTGTTTTTGCCATGTATGTGCAAATTTATGTTTCACATATTTATATTTTCTCTTCTTATTCTTATTTATTCTTACACTTTATTATCAAAGTTATTTGTTCCACCATCACTGAATAAAATGTCCAAACCAAAGTCTTTATTTCTTCAGTGGCGATAACCCTGACAATAGGTGACCACTCTTGCGAAATTAAAACAAACACTGCAGTCAGAAATGTCCCATTAGAGTGCAGTCACAAGCAGCTTTATTAACTATGCAAAAAATATCAGATAATTAAATATATACATATATGTGTTGGTCCAACTAAAACATTCAGCTTGTCAGTTAATCAGCTATAGTGAGTAATCTACCCAGTAGTACATTTACTACCCCGTTCACTGAGCAAGACAAAGGCCTACTCCACACCTGGTGCACAGCCTTTTGTCACCTAAGCACCTCCCACTAATACGCCCACTATTCTCATTCATCTCGCAGGGACCTGGACATTCCCATACACTACATAACACATAGAAAACTCCACTGACTCTTAAAAATGCCACACAGTGGCATAATGTATGGGATAAGTCCAGTTTCTCCTCAGCACTGGGTTACAGGCGTATCTGCTGTTTGGGTTTTCATCATTAATATCCTACTCATGATGAAAAGGAATGTAAAAGTTATTATTTGAAACAATAATAATGGATTGTATTTATATATATGCTTTTCAGGACCCCTCAAAGCACTTTACAATACCACTATTCTTTCACTCTCACATTCATACACTGGTGGAGGCAACTACAGTTGTAGCCACAGCTGCCCTGGGGCAGACTAACAGGGGCGAGGCTGCCATATCGCACCATCGGCCCCCCTGGCCATCACCAGTAGGCTTTAGGTGAAGTGTCTTGCCCAAGGACACAATGACCGAGACTGTCCAAGCCGGGGCTCGAACCGGCAACCTTCCGATTACGAGACAAACACACAACTCTTGAGCTACGATGGCACCTTTATCAAAATAGTAACCCACATGTAAAACACACAGCAGTCACGAGAGTTAAAGTGACTGTAGCAGAGTCAACATAAATAACTCTTACAAGTAAAAATAACTCATCTCTTATGACTCACTCTCATGAGCAAAAAGTGAGGTTCCTGTGTCATTTCGTGCAACTGAATGGGTTTGTGTTGTAACGAGAAAGTTAAAAAATGAGAAGTTAATGAAAATCTTTCTCTGGCAAGTAATTAAATTACATGCTGCATTACGGCCCGGTCCTTTATTAAGGTTATTAACTGCTCACACCTGCATGGGTTTAGAAAGTTTAATTTACAACATCCAACTTTGATAGCTAGGGAATGGACTGCCAGGGTCTCTCTTCTTGAATGCCACCCAGCACACACTGCACCTGACTCTATGTCACCTTCTGGGTTGTGGGCCTATACGTTGGTAGCCCTTTCTTCCTGGGCAGGGTAAACTGTCCCCAGATCTGACCAATCAGACTACTGCATTTGGCAACAAGTGCACTCATAGCTCAAAAACGGTACTGAAACTACAAATACCTCAGACACATAGCTAAACATAGCTCCAGCTCAATCAACTGAACTGAGTTTAAAGAAACCCTCAGTCCTCCTGAAATATGTATGAAAGCCACCACAGACAGAAGGTGCTTCGATGACATCAAAGAAGTGATGCATTGCTGACTGTATGCATGAATTACTGAACGGTTGCATCTTCATGCAACCTCTGTTCTTGATTCAACTGATGAAAATGATTGCTTTCCCCAGCTCTGCAAACACATGCCTGTAAGTATCCTCCTAATCATTCTGATAGTGGAGGGAGGATTCTACATTTACACCAAGAGGAAGCACAACAAGGATCTAGGGAATAAATCCGATTTATTCTGGATCTGAAGGTTGAATACTTCCACAATGACCACAATGTTTTCCTTCTTGGTTTGCAGCTAATGATCAGCCCAGTACTGAAATGGTAAGATATCAAAAAACAAGATCATGCCGAGTCAAGCTCACATGTCCTATTTCACTAATGTTGGTGCTCTTCTCCTCAGACTCATGTGTACGAGGTCGTTCAGGATGATTGTAATGAGGAACAACAACAACAACAACATTTAAAAAGAGAAGCAGCCACTGCAACA